CCCCCCCCCCCCCTCCCTCCCTGCTAATTTCTGGCAAGTCCCTAAACAGCTACTGCAGTACGCCTACTCTTGTTTGGATTTTATTTTTCCCGCTCTTTCGGACGCGTTTGGTTAATGTTTCACAGAGTATAGGACCGGCCGTCCAATCCCGGAGAGGTACTTGTCGTCTATCCCTTGTAGGGATAGGTCAGGGAACCCTAGTCTGCCTAGAGATAAGGAAGACAAAAATAATTTCCATTTTTGGCTTTGAGGGGGTATATTCGTTTATTTCAACAGCACCTTGTCATAAGTCTCAAATCCATCTGTTTTAATATTTGTCAAGAAAAATAATTTGTCACCCCAAGAAGTTTTTCGCCCTTTTCCGTTTAATATCAGTGGCGGGAGCCAGTAATATTTTCCGAAGTACGAATAGGTCAATGTTAAGTATATTTTAGACGAAAAAAACAAGAAACAAAATAAATCACATCGCATCTTTTTGAATGCGCCCGCGAGTATTCATTCTGACTCCTCTACGCGCCATTTTTTGGCCATTGCGATGCGGTGATCGATGCAGAAACGAAGATTTACTCGGCAATTAAACTCGGCGATCGTATAACTCGGTCCCAGTCTCAGGATCGAGGAAGGGCCCTCTCGTCTATCCCTTCAAGTGACTACCGTTTAATTAAGGCCCAGTCTGATTAAGGCCGAACTACATACGCGTCGGCCTGCGGCTGACCAGGCCCGAAGCATCTTCGCCGCACACGCGAGAAAAAACCTTTGGTACCCAGGGTTACCCCCTCCTTGCCCTTTCTCATATTAGGATACCGAGTGCCTAGTTTCGCTATCTGCCAACAATAAGTTTTAATGTCGATTCATGATGGTCATTCATAAAAATACCAAAAAGTCCTGAAGTATATTCCCATTGTCTCAAATTCTCTCCAAAGTACTTTTGCAAATTGGAGTACTTCTCCAGTATTGTCGATGCACATTGTGTTTGTTTCATATATTCGTCATAACACTGCCTCCACTTGGTTGTCTTAGGCCATGGCAAATGGTCCACTACCATTTGGTCGAAGAGTTTCTTCTCACATTTCAAGTGTATCATCTTAGCGCAGTCTTCAGGACCCATTAAGGGTATGGTAACTGGAAGAAGATAACATATAAAACCTCAATTTGGGATCTAGGGGAGAAACCCGGATCGGTCATTTCGTTCGCTCTAAGGGGATGGGCCATTTCTTTGGTCCGCAAATGTTAACCGCTCCCCGAGATTTACTTCCTGAAATTTGTACACGTAGGAATTTTTTTTCGTGGTTCCTGAGAACTGAAAAACTGGATATATATTTTTTCTCTCGAGGCTCAAATATTGGCAACTGAAGCGGGAATTAAACAAATAAACTGTTTCCAGAAGGCCAGTCATTATGCTGCATGGCAAGCTAGCTGGGCCTGTACAAGAACCAAGCTTTACTTCATTCAGGGCCATACGTTCTTATCAGCAAAGTATTTCTGGACTCTCTTAATCCCAGGCTCATTGCAACCATGCCCATCTCTTTTTATAGAGAGGAGATGCGTGACGTCACGTTACCATAGTTGCAAATTTTCTGGATCTCAAAAATCTTTATTGACAGAGACGACCATTTTTATTGTCAAGCGACGTAAGTAAATTAAAGTATGTGCTGCCGTTCTGTTCCTGAGTGCAGTCATGCATAGGAAAGTCATACATGTCAACGGTTTGTAGAGATCCAGAAATTTGCTACCTAGGCAACGTGACATAGCGACTTCTCCTTTCTTACATTCGCAAGGTGCAGCAAAGTCAGTGAAGGCACAAAAGAGAAAGACTAAGAAATCGTTTACTATAAAAAACTTACTTTTTGGATGCTGGAGAAGCAACTGTTGGACCGTAGCTATAAGGCAATAAGAACGTTACAAATATACAACTTGTTTTATTAAAAAAAAATGCTCGATCTTTTTGATGGAAAGATGTTAAGATGATTTCGTTAAATTGAAATAGGAAAACTCCTCCATCGAATTTCAGTTGTGACTTCAGGATATATGAGAGTATACTTGACGTTTGGGAACAAAGATACAATTTAGCAATCTCGCGGACTGAGCAGTGAGTCGGAAATCGGTCCGTATTGGCCATTCAGAGAGGTTACGCAGGAGACTAGCCTAAGGAGGGTACTTTGTCGAAATGCACTATGGGATAGTTTTGGACCCAGTCTACTTTCCATAATGACAAAACCGAAGTCTAATTCTAATTTCGTATTATCCCAAAAGGCATAACCCATCACAGCAGATGTGCAAAATGTGCGTGTGCTAGTGTTAAAATTTAAGAAAAGGTGAGAGTGCTTAATAGTAAACAAAAAAAGGACCGGGGACAGCGTTTTTTTTAAACATGGTACATGACAGCCATTTTGAAACAAGTAGTTTTATGCCAGTTTTAGCCACAGGAATCGTTCGGGACTGTTTTTATCTACCTTTTTTTCTATTCTGATAAATTGTCAACTTGAGTCTGACGTTTGCCGTTTGCGGTAAACGTGAATCTTGATCTCTCTAAAATCTCTCTAACCACACAGCGCAAACCTCAAAACAAACTTTTGCAGACTAAGACTAAAAGAACGTTAAAAAAGTTACGAGTTCTACCGCTCCTTGTAACAAAATAAACTTGCCAAAAGCAAGCATACGTCTTTAAAATACTTTTTCTTTCATGTTATTATTTGGCCTCATATACACAGTGTATACACAACGCATGATGAAAAAAAGATACTAAGAAATATTTTTATTTTCAAATGATTTTGTCTTTTCAATACTGACTAACATATACGATTAGGTTCGATCAGAAAAGAACGAAAAAGTCGAGGAAAACTCCATAAGCCATGAAGACGATCGATCAGACATGTCTCCCTCTTCGACGGGCCGAGATAGATGCAACACGTTTTCTGACAAGAAAGAACAAGAAGTTGAACTTACCAGAATTTTGGATACTCTGTTCAAGTTGCTCGAAGTTGCTGTTAGGACACATTAACGCTTTATCTACTATAGAAGACTGGAGTAAGAGAAACCGATCTTTATCCAAAAGGATTCCTGACCCTTGTCTTTCTTCAAAGCAGTCTATTACTTTCTGTAAAAGAAAAATGTTCGTAAGAACTTTGTGAACAAACTTTTGAAAACGTTTTGTTAGATGCCTACCAGTAATAAAATTGTATGTACTTAGAAGAAGGTGTTGTGAAAACGGTGCGAGTCTAAACCGGATGATGACAACAGCACAACAACGAAGATAAGAGACTCTTTCCTTTTTAACGCAGTTCTAGATCAGAGATCTAGAGGTACTTTGGAAAACGGCTCTGTTAGCTTTGCAGTTAGTGCAGGAAGGAGACTGATTGATCGATATGTAGAAAGGGTGGGTGCTGTTTTCCACATATTGTTTGTTGACCCCGGGGAGGAACTTCCATTAGAAGGAGACGTGTATCCTTCTCTTCTCATTAAAGTGTAAACTGCAGTTGTTGGTGTCATTTAGTGGTGTTTAGAAGGAAAGGCCGATATTTCCTCATATTCATTTGGTATCAAATATAACATTCGGCGATGATAATATCTTAAGCCCGGCAATTAAAATAACTATATATATAGCTAATATATATTTGGTTGTCTGTTTAAGTATACTATGCATGGTCACCTTTCATTATCCGAATAAGGCCATAGTCACCTTACGGGGGTCAAATAAGCCTGCCGCTGTCTCCTTTTGGGGTTTAATGTAAATTTTCCGACGGGCATCTCCGTCTCTTCTACTGCTGTCCGGTTTCGTCTTACATTTCTAACACGAGGTGCTTATGCATCAGTCAATTACAGCTGCGCCCAGCGCCCCCCTCCCCCCCCCTGGCTACTGCGGGACATTTGCCGGCCTTGTAAGTCCCGGGGGTGGGGCATTTGCAAATTTTGCACTGCCCGGGGGCCGGGCATTTGCCAACCCCGGGGCCATTCCCGAGCTTTTGACACGCACGCAGTTTCCTATCAGAATATAAATACACAGAGGGCTTTACTGGAAAAAAAGCAGATTGGCTCATCTGTCAAGGACAGGAATAAATTGAAGAGGGTTGTAAAGTTTTATACATGCATTTCTTCATTGCTTATCAAGCCAAAATTACATAACGAAATTGGAGCTATCGATGGGAATCAACGTTTTTTGGTTATTGAATCAAATTTCTATTCATATTATTTTGAGGAACATCCTTTCATATTTATAAAACTATTCATAACATATAACTTTACAGCGCTCTATTAATTTAATGTCAATAATTTTATATCAATACTAAAACCATAAACTGGTGAATGTCGACGTTTGAATCGTTAGAATCCTAGCGCGCCGTTAGAATCCTAGCGCTATTACAAAGGAAGACGTAAACTGAGACAAAAAATTGCACCATCCCCCCCCCCCCCCTTTCGATTGGGGGATCATGAAAAAATTTTCCGGGTTTGCGGGGGGCGGGGGCTTTTGCCCTTTTTTTTTTTCCTCACCCGGGGGGTTTTGGGGTCCAGGGAAAAAAAAAGGCCAATACCCAGGGGGCGGCCGGGGGGCAGGATCATTCCCGTGATCCTTTCACCTCGCTGCGCTCCGTCCGATTGCCCTGTTTTTTTTTTTTTTAAAGGGACGGGCGCCCCCCAGAACTCCCCCCTTTCCCCCCCCGACCCCCTTCCGATCTTTCCCCGGGCGCCCGTTAAAACCCCGCGCCAATTCAAAAGAAAAAGGAAAATGAGAAAAAAAAATTCCCCCCCCCCCCCCCCCCCATTCGATTGTGAGATCAATGACAAATGTTGCAGTGTTGACGGAGGACGGGGCATTTGCCCTCTTTTTTCGTCCTCACCACGGGGGATTTGCGATCCAAGGCAAAAAAAATGCCAATACCCAGGGGTCAGCCCGGGGGCAGGGGGGGAAGGCGAGGGCTGGGCGCAGGTGGAATTGACTGATGCCTAACGAAGGCCTTCTAGCATTGTCATGGATTTCTTTGATAATAATCTTTCTCTGTTTTTAGCAGCCAAAACATAATTATTATTGTTTTGAAATCAACATAATTTTGTATCAATGACCGAACTGATCCAACAAGCAAGGAGGTTCTCACACTTCTTAATAAATAAGTCCTTGATGATTGAAAGTCTGAAACTAAGGACTGATTTATCCTGTCTGTGTGACGCCGGCAGTTCTTACCTGTTTCACATCGCAAGCGGTATCAGGAAATGGCGGTTCTCCGGAATCAACCATCAGCCGATAAAGAATTCCATTACAATCTTTGATAATTTTATCTTCTTCGCTAATTTCTCCTTCGGCTACAGCCACTCGGAGAAATAATTTACAAAATGCTAAAGCTAGAGCCAGAAAACGGACCAAATGTAGTTCTGTGTTCATCTTTGTTCGACTGAAGACCCATTCAGAAGATGTCGCTAGTCTTGAATTTTCTGAGTGTAGGTGCGACTTTTTGTCAAGCGTGTCCAAAGTACCTGCCGCCTCATTGTTAACGCGTATGAGAACCACAGGAAACGAACTCAATCATCATTAATCATCTTCCAAACCTCTTCGTCTGCAGCTGTGAATTAAGGAGACGCGAAATGTGTCAAATGTTTCTAACAGTGTCTGTGAAATAAAATGCTATGACGACCAGCCTTTTCTGTTTTAACACGGATGAGGGGAGCTGTTTGCTCTACGTGCTCATCGAAATTGAAGAAAGTTAAAGCAACACTTATTTTCTGCCTTAACATTTTGAGTTAACGCGCAGGGGTTTTGTTAAGGGTATGATACATTTTACAACTTTCACTAAGTTTCATTCACTTATGCGCCAAATCTCTTGGTAACCCCCGGTATGCATCGCACAATGAAGCACAAGCCTTTTCACCAACGGTGATACCAGCAGCAGATCAGGGTGGTTCAGTGGTGGTTGATTATGCCGATAACCCCAACTAGCGACGAAAGAACGAAACGGCAACTGTAGAGCACCTTTATCCACTGAAGAAGCTCGGATTGCGGTGGGAAGTTAAAAGTTTTCCTCTTTTCTCAGGCTCCACTAATTCGATATTAATATACTCGACGTCCACTTTCTTCCCGCCCAAGGATTAGACATTAGCTAGAAAGATTTAGAGTCAGGTTTTCATAAAGAAATTTGTACCACGAGACCAAGTTTTTCCTTAACTTTACTGTTACTTACTGTTCATTATTTACTGTTTACTTTTTTTTATATACTATTTTCTATACTGTTCATTAATTCTTCCCTAAAATTAGTAGTTTCACGTTAGTTTTGTCCATAACGATTGGTTCGGACTGTTTTAAGCCGCACGTTTTCTATTTGGAGAAATTCTCAACTTGAATATGACGTTTGCCTGGTCTCCCTCCGGGCCGTTTTGTCGGGGAACGTTGCGTGACATTCCCAAAAACGGCTGTGAGGGAGACTAACATTTGCGGACTAATGGTAAGCCAAATTCAAGACTGGTTAATTTCATCCCGGAATCGCGTTTACCATGTGTACAATGATATCAGTTCCATTTACCGAAAAACGGCCAAGCAGGCCTGAAAACTTTGAATTGAAGAATTTGCAACATTCCCTCCGGAAAAACAGGACTACTTTTCAGATGTTCCATTGCTCCTGTAAATTTTCCGCTGGATCCAGCGAAACAGTCGCGTTCCAACTGCTTTCCAATCGGATTTTCCGGAAACTTTTTGTAAATGATAAACAACCAACATTTGCCAATACCGGTACAGTTCGAGTTTCGACAAGATTTATATCATTAATGTTTGCTGTGAAGACATTACGGTCGCTATTGTATCCAAAGAAGTAACAATGGTCGCTTCCGCCCATAATCTGCAATTATCGTCTTTAAAATGAAATATTCATGATCTGTTGACTAGAATAAACAATATTAACCGCGATTTCTTGCATTGGCGAAATTTTTTCACTTGTTTGCCCCAGAGAAACCACGTGACACTGCTTTTATCTCATCAGTCCACAAGCGGGTGCAAAGATGGCGGATATCGTGAATTCACTACTTTCATATAAACCATAATACACCTTGTTTACCCCCCAAAATTTCGCATAAGTATTGTTTTCAAGTTCTCTTGGGAGGATTGTAAATCCCAAGAGAAATTGGAAACAATGCTTATGCAAAACGTTTGGGGGGGGGGGGTGGGGTACACAATGTGTATTATAGGAATGTGAAAGTAGCGAATTAAGTCTATTCTTTGTTCCGCGCTCGGTAACGCATCGCAAGAGGGGACAGAAGTGGGGTGCGGGGATGTTAGCATTAACTAAAACAAAATGATGCAGAGGAATATTCTGTTTATTTATAATGAAGATCTCGGTCAGTAGAAAAACCCTAGAATTTTTCCACCAGTGTGCTTTCTTCTGGCCTCTTCATGGTCCATGATGCCGCTGGAGGTAGTAAGGACAAGGTATCTGTAAACACAATCATACAGTTTGAATCTTGACTGACATAATTAATAATATTTAATGCCTCATCAGTGGCCTGAAAGCACCCTGATTTGGGGAGGAGGTGGGGAGCCTGGGTGGAGGAGTGGGTGCTTATTGGAAAGGATCCCAAAATGTTGGTTTACGGCCATTGCTTTAATTCATTTTAACCCTTAAGAGGTAACAAAAACCAGAGGAGTAACTAATACAGGCAAATCCCTTTAACGCTGACGCCCCTCGGACTGCAAGTTGCGTGTTGTTTCCTTAAAAGTGAGAGCTGCAATAAAGGGAATTTAGTCCAGTCAAACTAAGTTATGTAATTAATTTTGCTGGGATTTAGCCCTTGATTGTATTATTGGGTGTCTGTAATGCAAGGTGGCAGCAAGGCGAGAGTTGCCTATAGTTTCCACCACTCATTCTTTGGCCAACACCCTAAAAGACCCCCCTCCCAACCCCCCCCCCCACCCCCCCCCACCCCTGCCCACCCTCACCCCTCCCACCCACACTCCGCCACTCACCCCCACACCACACAAACACCCCCCCCCCCAACCCCCCCCCCCCAGTTGTACCCTTGGTACAGTTCCTCCTATACACAAAATCCTATCATTTAAAACAATCAATTGAACAGACTACAACGTGGGATAACAAAGCCCATTACATTACATTTACATGAATATCAAAAGCTGACTGGTAACTACACGTATATGCTCACTTACCCAAACTGTCTCGATGGCAAGAGATTGCTTGCCCACTGTTCAATATCGTGAACTTTTAAGTCATAACGAGGACTTATAACACCACACTAAAAAAAAACAAAGATGATGATTTATCAAGATGCATTGCTCTAGTCTTCATTGTTATTGCGTGGATGGATGCTAGTGAGCCTTCAGTATCTCATGTTTAAATCTGAATTCAACTTTGAATCTGCCACTTCTCACTTTGCAACTACTCTTACCGACTAATTCCTTTGTTTCACACTACTCATCACCTATTGCGCATAACACTGTGACAATAAATGTTGTTTTGAAGATCACCAATTGCTTTAAGAGAGGTAACTTCAACTTCAACAAAGGCCCCTTCTGTAGTCCAAATAGTTTTATCAGCAATTTTGATAACTCTTCCTGGCTAAACAGGTGTTGGTCTTGGGACCCACCTCAGTCCCTTTGCACAAACTGATAATTTGAAGCTGAATTTGTTTCTTTGATGTCTTTTTGTGATGAAAGGAGAATGATGACCCCTTTTTATGGGTGTTTTTTACTTGTTATGACTACAAGAAAAATATATTTAAAGGAGGTAAAAAAAATAGATGGGAGAAGTTGTATTATTTAGAGATGAATGACATGCAAAGAGACCCCTTTTTATGGGTGTTTTTTACTTTTTATGACCACAAGAAAAATATATTTGAAGGAGGTAAAAAAATGGATGGGAGAAGCCGTATTATTTAGAGACGAATGATGTGCAACCCCCCATTTGAAGCCACAGAGGAGTGTAAGATAATGTCAAAAATGTCTATTTTTCTTATATTTTTGCAAAGGGTCGGAAATTGCGCCTATAATGGCAACCAGAATTCAGCGGGCAACTTACCATGTAGCACTGTTATTCACATTGTTATTGTTAACTTTAACATTCACAGAAACTGATTAAAAATAATTATGATTTAGTCCCTTTCACTGACAGGTGTCTTACTTTTTACCTTGTTGATATTTTAGGAATAAACTGAAATGAGTTTTTCTCTGAAACTACCTTCACAAGATCTGCGAGCAATGCGATGTGAACGTTGCTAAGCCGCTATGTTTATCTCCAGCAGTTTATCTCAGAATGCTGCTGCTTAATACCATGTGCTTTGAATATTCATTCAGATGAAGTGTCTGTGAAGACACTCCAATCTTTTCGTAATTTCTTGCAAAGTGGAGATAAAAAAGCTGCCAAGAATTTTGTGGAACATTTGGACACTTGGGCTACGAAAGTGAAACCGTGGATCTTTTGAAATCTAGGCTGCGTATTTTTTCGCTCAAAAAGGTAATTTGTTAAAACGAAATCGGAAATGCTATACGCATGCGTTCTTTTCTGATGACTAGAGTGGGGCTCTTTTTGAACAGAGAAATGTCTCAAACATGCTTTTTTACATTTTATTGTACAAGAAAATTTTTAGGTGACCGCAATTGGCCATCTGGCAGCCAAAAATTCATATTTAGTTGCCAGTTGGCGTCCATAAAACAAGTTCATTTCAGACCATGTGCAAGATAAGGTAATTAAAAAGTCACATTACAGAGATATTATAGCACAAACAAACAAATGGGCCCTAGGTTTCATTATGATTTCTAGTTTTTGCCATATGATAACAAATTTTTGACGGCTGTTCAAGTTTTGAACATTTCACACCCAACCAGGGAAAATGCTTAGAATTATGGGCACGCAGGACAAAAACAGGCAGGGTGACCCCACCTTTTTGTTGCAGTTCTTCAATGTGCTATATATGGCTGTCAATTATTGTGCCAAGTTTGAAAAAAATCTGGATAGCAGATCATTTTCAAGGGAATTACCTTAAACAAAAACAGTCAAAACTCTCACAAATGACTAACGTGGTCACATCTACAGCAAATAGCTAATGTAACCTTGTTATAACAGCATTATTCACAGAACAAAAACAGGAGAGAGACTGTATTGAAAAATTAATAAAATCAAACCTTGTTCAAGCGTCCTGTCAAGTTGACTACAATTTTGCCAGCTCTATGGTCATCCACAATTTCAAATTCCCCAATATAACCTGAAAAGAAACACTTTTGTCAGTAAATTTCACATGAGTGGCTCCTAATGAACCTTTTGTGAGCTACCAACTCCTGCAAGTGAGCAACAAACACATTTTTTTTATCCCTTACAAGAGGTTTGACTGTAACATTTGGAAACCGTTCAAGCCGAACACCATAAGGCAATGATATTGAATAATAACATGATTAAATCCATAAAAAAGATGGTGCTAACAGTGAAAAAAGTTGTGGCCATCAATTTCCATTGACTGATTGATCAATATCAATCAATCAAGAATAGGCCATTTGCAGTTAGCCATTCATGTGGCACCAAACCGCCATGTTGGAGAGCAAAAGTCGCACTGGGACAAGACAAACAAGACATACATAATTTGAAATGGTAATTTTCTTTGTTTGTCTTGTCCCAGTGCGAATTTTGCTCTCCAGCACGGTGGTTTTTTTACCACGTGAATGGCTAGCTGCAAAGGTCCTATTATCGGTAGTTACCGACTGATTGTCTTATGTGAAAAGCAGTAGGGAGCCTCTGAGGCCAAGTTCAAACATCGAACATTTCATGTATCAAACTTAATACCTATTTGGGTTGATCCAAATTATACAAGTTTGACAGTTGATTCAAATGTCCACCTTTATAAGTCAGCCTCAAGTCACTTTCACGATGTACAATGTTCTACAATGCTTACCAATCGAAACAAATTAGAGTAATTTATACATTGGATTTGGTACACAAAAAGTTTGACCATTGAAACAGAGTTGCTCCATGGTCGAAATTCCCATGTGGGTTACTCGAACTTAATTCATGATAAGACACGTCTGACTTTATTGATTAAAATGTCTATCTCCTCATGTACTTGATTGAAGGATTAGGCTTGGTAAGTGAAAAGTTTGACGTTTGAACTAGACCTGAGCTACTTATGTGAAACTCCTACAATTAGTCTGTAGTTGCTCCAAAGTATATAAACAAGACAGGAAATAATTGCTTATTTTTCTTGCTAACTTTACCCAGTAATCAACCTGATAAAATACAAAACAAGGAAACACCAGCATGTATGTGGCACGTTAGTCTGATTATGACCTACATGTGAAACCGTAAAAGATTAGAGTTGTTACATCTTCGTAGATGTAGATGTAAAGCCATCAGCTGAGCTCAGACAACAGTTTCACAGCTGGAGAGAAATATCAGTGAAGATAATTCACATTACACTACCCAAGTGAACTCAAAACATACCATAAGATATAAATAGGACTTGTGGCACGTGTTTCTAGCACTGACAAAATTTTTTTCGTAGTTCTACAAGATTAGAAGAGGAAACAGACGCCACTTAACCTACCATGTTTCATCATAACAGTGAGAAACTTTACAATAACTTTCGATGAGGGACGGAGAAGAACCTGCCGCTTTCCTCGTCTTTCCGCATTGCAAATAGAGTTTAGAGCGTCGCTTAAGACATTAATCCGCACCATCTTGAACCCTGAGACACAAAACACTGATGTCAACAGAAGCCCTTAAACAAACTCAGTAAATGAACGTTAACGTTCAGTAAGACACAAAATACCAAAACAAAAGTCAAGAACAGTTATTGCTTTATTCAGAAATGAAGAGAATTTCTCGACAACCCTTCTTATGAAGCGGATGCAGACAGATTTTCGAGGACAATTTACCATACCTGGTGGAAAATCGCGATCGCGAGAGAGAGGAAGAAACTAGTTACTAGACCATAATATATTCCCGGTAGCCTCGCTTTCGTGATATTTGTTTCCAGGCGCGGTTCGCAGCCAGCGCGGTAAACAGAAATCAACAGACTTCGTAGTCCTGTGTTTATGATTTGTTTTTCGTTGAAATGCAAATATTTGAGTTGCTTTTAAATGTATATGCATATAATGCAAAAGATCTATGAGTCATCGATGTTAAGAACTACTTGTACATGGAGCGAGGAGGGTATGCTAGTTTATAGATGCTGACGGTTACAAATGAGCAGAGGTCTCCTGAGAGACAAAACCTTTTTAAGCTTATTATGTATGTTTGAGACTTAGTGGGACATAAACTTAAGTCCTTTTAAATTCAGATCACGTTTTGTGTGTCGATCATAGCTGAAAAGATTTATTATCAAATAGTGAAATGCTACTAATGAGACTGTCAATGACTTGCAAGAAGTGCGAATGAGCTTGTTTAACGGTGTTTTGATAGCGTGACTTTGTGTTGAGACTTTGTGAGATCTTTTGACGATCTCTTCAGTGACTGTAATGTTTACAAGAGAGAAGAAAAGAGTGGATCCAGCACGAACCAATACTAAAAGAGGTCGCAAAGGAAAAACCTCCAAGGCAGCGTGGGAAACTTTGCTTTCTACTTCTCAAAATGGTAGTTCTACACTGGTGAATGGCAAGGTGCGTTTTGGCTCTGACAAGAGGAATGGGTACCCACACGTTCAATGGTCGGATGATGATGACGACGACGATGACGATTATGATAAATACAATACTTCTATAACTCCAAATGCATCTCTTAACTTTTCGGGGAGTCGCTCTAAAAGTTTTGAAAGTTTATGGAGGTCCGCATCTGCCCAAGCAAGGTCAAATACTTCATTAAGTAGGAGTTTTGAGTCACAGGCAATGCCAGTTGAAGACTTTTATATGCATACTGCCCAACCACCAGTTCCCAAGGAAGTTGTTAAGCAAATACGAGATGGAAATTATATTAACTTTCAAGAACTTCTTCCTGAGAATCTTGGAAGAGAAAATGCAAAGAACAAGGTGATGATTGATGAAACTGAAAGAGTGGATGATATCACTAAGTGGATTGATTGCATGGCTACTTATGTTGCGGTGTTTACCTGTAGTGATCCTAATCGAATTAGAGATTTATTGGCCTATCAAGGCATAATAACCAGATTATACCGTGAATGCCAGAACAAGAAAGCTTGGCAACGATATGATGTTGCATTCAGGCGGAAAGCATCTCAGAATGGACTGAGAGACTGGAGCACAGTTGATGAAAACTTATGGATAATGGCTTCATCCCGAGATGCAAGGAGAGCTATCCTCTGTAAAGCTTGTTTGTCTCTAGCACATGACCAAAACTCTTGTCCGCTGAAACCTAAAGAAGAAGTATCAAAGACTTCAA